AGAATATGAATATATAAATGTATAAACGTGTAAATATTTTCAAATCATCAAATCATATCAGTGTAAATATTTTCAAAATATTTACTGTATGTGTGTGTATTTATATATACATAATAAATAAACACAGTACACATACATATATAATGTAAACAAAAAATTGTATATTGGATGTGATTAATCACGATTAATCGTTTGACAGCACTAATATGTATATGGAACCATTCACTCATATACCTAATCTTTAGACCAAGTCTGCAAAACTATAAACACATTACATGCTTTAAACTCAGTTTGAAATTGTAAAACAAACTTTTTGCAAAACTCTAAACACAGTTCTCTACATTACACACTAATTGCTCTTTTGTTTAATTTGGGATACTTGGCTTATATGCTTATTCAATGTGTGTGTGTGTGTGTGTGTGTGTGTGTATATATATATATATATATATATACAGCCTTAAGTCAATAGTGTCATTCTACTGTTCAAGTCAGTTGAGTATTGATTCAGGTTAAGTTGCGCAACTGTAAAATTCATCAGTCATTCATACTGTATACAGTGTATATGTGCATATGCATGTACAGTATGTGAGAGTACTATGACAAACTCCTGTGTTCCACTGCACTCTGAAAAATCAAAAGACCACACGAGAGTTTTACATTTTTCACATCTGTGTGTTGGCTGGCGTGTATGTGGCTAATTATTTTATGTTCACTATGCTCTTAGGCAAAATACAATTTTTAGAAAAGTTAAAACAGTTTTCAAAGAAGTGTTTGCTTTTGCAAGATGTGTGTGACGTTTTGTATGTTGTGTGTGTGTGTTTTGTTGTTTTGTGTGTAGAGTTTTGAGAAATGGAGCAATAGTTTAAAAAACTATATAAGCATTTTGAAAAAACTGTAAAATATGCATCCATTTTATCTTTAGATTTTGACATTGTGGTGACCCATATTAAAATCTGAACTATTTGTTCATTGCTGTTTACCTCTAGCTGTCCTCCAGCCCAAATAATGTTGTCAGTGTTGAGCACAAAGCGCTGGTCAGGAGGTAGTGAAGCATCATAGTATCCCACTGGTTTAAATTGTACTGATCCATCTGAATCCTGCTGCCAGTTTACAACTTCATATTGGGCTACAACTGCACCAGTGCTGTCAAACCACACATAATCTCCCATCTTTGTAGTGAAATGCACATTTTTAAGAGCCTCAACCACCTGGAAAAAAGACAATTTTGATATTTTGAAGTGTTACAGTTTTTTCCAATTGCTAACACAATTTTTCAAACTAGTCTGTCCTGTACCCCGGTGAACATTTGGCCCCTTCCTCCACCATGGTGTCGTCTCTCAGTCCTTCAGAAAAAATAAAATAAAAATATATATAGGGCTTGGACAATGCAGCCTAAATATTTTCCCCCACAGTAGAGTACATTGTACAGGAAACTTGTACAGTTCATGAATGGCTGATGTCATACACTATGTAAACAGGTGTCACCCAACAGATACACTATGACATGGGGTATACTACATGTGTACTACATGAAATTTTGGTTACATACCTGTTCTCCAGTCTAAAGGTCCGGATGACAGAGGCGACAGTAAAACGGCTCAAGTTTGGCTGCACTCGCTGTCCAGCCTCACGCATTGTCAGCCCATGGTTGATGACATGATCTACTAAGGTTGCTCTGATTTCATTTGAAAGTGTTTGTCTTCTTTGGCCATGAACTCCTCTACCTGCTCTACCCCTACCTCTCACTCTTCCTCCCCCTCTTATTCTCAACCTCCCTCTTCCTCTTCCTCTCTCTGCAATGTCTTCCATTGTGGTTGTAAAAAAAAGGTTCTCACCTGTGGTCTTTTCACAGTGCTTACATCCTGATTGAAGTGTTAACAATTAACCATTGAGGTGTTTGGCCAGGTGGCACATGTAATTGGCCAATTAGCTCATGTAGTGTCATTTTGAATGGCAGTGTTTTGAAATGGCAAACATGTGACTTTATGTCAGATTGTTGTGTCTTATGCAGAGAACTGTGTTCAGTGCATTTAAAAAGTGCCATTTTGAAATGCAAAATGTGTGTAAAGCAGAAAATGTGTTTAGACTTTTGGAGACTTGAGAAGAAGTTTTGCTCTCTGTGTGTCAGTTTAAATAATTGTGCTGTGCATGTCATTTTAGTGTGTTAGCAATTGGAAAAAACTGTAATTGCCTCAATAATAATAATAATAATAACAATAATAATAATAATTAACTGAAAAATGAAACACTGCATTCCAAACATCACAAACACATATCAAAAGCAAACATTTGTTTTGCGTTGCAAATACCTTTGCCATAATATTATATTTTTGTATATTTAATATGCACACAGTTATTCAAAACCTAAAGCTCTTCTTTCATGAGCTCCTATGCACATTTCTGTACAAGATTGAAAGTAATTGGCAGAGAGATGTTGAAACATTCACAGCAAACATGAAAGCAAGATTGAAACCAAACTTTTTATAAACAAACTGTTTATAGGCCTATTCTAAAGCCATGATTGGTTGGTGTTAAGTAAAACATTGAGTGTTTGCACATGTGAGGAGTTAGTGTGAGGCACCGATGAATTAGTGTGGCATTTTGAGTGGTTGTGTTTGAAAAAGGAAATCAAGATACTTCCTGTTAGATTTTTGTGTGTTACATAGAGAATTGTGTGTTGTGTTTTGCAAAAAGTGTTTTATAAAATTGAAAACTGAGTCAAAGGCTGAGAATTAGTGTATGGTTTTGCATATTTAGTGTGTGGTTCTGGTATTTGAGGGTCAGGTTTCAGAAACTGTGAAGTAAAGATTTTGTGTGTAAGCAGTTTAAAAAAACTAGTAATAATAATAATGATGATGATGATAATAATAATAGTTAACCTCTTGCTGTTTTTTTTCTGCAAATCTCTCAATACTTTACCTTATGTGGGGGAATGGTCACACCGTTCTCACAACCACTTCTTTCTTTACAGTTAAGCATAATGTGTAGTGAATGAGCCACAGCATAAACTGCTTTGTAGACGTTGCTTGAATAGCTTTGTTCCAACACATCTTCTTTGTAATTTTTCAATGCAAGTAGATCCTGAAATTGACTGCAATTTAATGCATATTGAGAAGAATTCCCTTCCTTTTGTGAGCATGAAAAAGCTGTGTCCCAGAATTCTTTAATAATGTAATCTGCAAACCCTTCAATATTGATTTTTCTCACTGCAAACCCTATTGACCCTCCCAGAACACGAAAGCTGCTTGGAGTTATCAGACTCTTTGCAGTTATCCATGCCTCCACACCAATCACTTGGAGGTCTGTAATGTTCTCAATACTTAGCTCATCAAGCAGGTTTCCCATCTCAAAATGGGAAAGAAACGCAACAATCACTTTTGCAGTGCCTTTTTTTATTGTGTCTACAACTTTTTTAAGTTTTTCAGTCTCTGTTCGGTAGAATTTCACTGAGTACTCCACACAAATTCCCTCCTCCTGGGCAGCTTTCAGAAATATGGTCATTCCATTATTTCCATAGTCACTGTCACTGTTCACAGCTCCCACCCAAGACCAGCCAAAGTGCTTGACTATTTGTGCAAGTGCTCTGCTTTGATGGTAATCACTAGCAATTGTCCTGAAAAATGATGGGTAATGTTTTCTATTACTGAGACATTCACATGTGGCCGAGGGACTTATCTGTAACAGAAAGAACAGTGAAAAAGTATATAATTAGTATGGTGGTTAAGTGAAATCTTTAATGTTTTTGCTCCTTACCACTGGAATTTTAAAAGGTCCTGTATTTCTGGCCAGAATCACTGTGGTTGAAGATTCTGTTTCTCCTATGATAGCATGTACTGGAGACTGTCCATTGCATCTGTCCTCTGCTGCAATAACATGACCATTCATCAATGCCATGGTTGCACTCATAGAAGAGAGTCTTGATCCACAGGTGTCATAGATTTTGTAGCCAATAGAAACATTTGGGAGCAAACTGTCACTTCTGTTAATCTCCTCAATGGCAAAGATCATGATTTGAGCCAGACGAAAATCTCTTAGATTCACACTGTGGAAACACGTTTCAGTGTGAGCAATGTTTATATGTATTTTTATAAATGTTTTTTATATGTATTTATATATTTTACAATTAATTTAGACAAATCCTTATTTTTATTAAATGCATGTAAAATAACAAACCTGGAACAAAACAGACGTTGAGGTTTTTGTGTAAACTCAAATGATGGTAATGTTTCTTTACCGTGAACTGAAAGCACTGCTCCAATAGTTACGTCTCCTTCCTTGGATAACAGCGGGTACTTAGGGTCTCCCATCAGTTGGCAAACAGTGTTCTCCGCCTTTGTATGAAGGTGATGGAAAAGCAAAAGTGTGTAAAGAAAAACAAGCATCCCAATGATTGAGTTCAACTCTGACTGCCAGATGCATCTGACTTATTTGCACTTTTATATATGTGATTATTTTGGATGAATGATTGTGAACATAGCCAATGAACTCACAGGGCAGAACATGAATCAGGTCAATCAGACCTTGAATAGAGTCAAACTAATATTATACAATTTGATTTTGAATTTTATAATTTAAGATAGTGAATATTAAAAATGTTATTTTTGGGCTTCTTATAAAGTCATTTATAAGAAGTGAATCTATTCACTTCAATTTCTCATACACAGTCTGCTTACATGCTTTCTCAATTTGCTTCTAACTTTTATTGTGGAAATATATTTTGCCATTAGCAACTATAGGCGCTTTCGCACCGCATAGTTCTAGGACCTTTTGTGATAATGGAGATGGAATGTAGACGCACAATTTACACGATTGAAAGAGCATGAAAATCTGACTAAAACGCTGCAGACAACTAAATTTAGACAAAAGTAAATGCCGTTATTGCTCTTTTAAATGTTCGTGGAGTAAATATTTTTACACAGCTTTTTAAAAATGCAGAGTAGCTGGTGTTTCATATGCATTTGGCCAATCAGCATACACGTACGTCAGCTAAGGAATGGAACTTTTTGTTTATTTAGTCAATTATAATGAAAGTCATGTGTAGTTAAAGGTGCAGTAGGAGATCTTGGAAAATGCTAACTTTAGCCTAAGAGCACTGAAAGTGAACGTCCCACCCTCCCTGCAATCGCCGTCCAAAGCCACGCCCCCTGAACGCATTTACGCTCACAGACCAGAAGGCTACATCAGCGGTTCCCAATTCCAGCCATGTTCCGAAGTGAAGTAAACTTCAACGGATTTCCCCTGCTCAGGGAGGAGGGAGCAATGAACACTGTGTAGGGATCATATCGATCGGAACAAAATTCATGCACGTAGCTCACTTCTAACGAGCTGGTTATCTGAATCGGGCGTGTTAACTAAGTGAGACATGCAAAATATGCAGAGCGCGGGGGCGCGAGGACTGGAATTGGGAACCGCTGGGCTACATCATGCGTCATTAACCAGTGAGAAAACTTTAAAAGTACTACAATACCAGGAAGGAAGATCTGGTTGTTGATGTTTTTCTGCCATTCTCGCTCTGTCTGCACAGTGTGCGTGAACGCGCTGATGATGACGTACCCTGTCTGCGCGAACAGGGTGCACAGAGGTATGCTAATACATACATTGACAGGCAGGTAGGAAAGCGAATTGTGTTTTGATTGGACGAACATTTCATGGTCCTACGCCTTCAACAGAATATATAAATACAGATAAATACATTTAGACCACTTAACTTAATGATTGCTATCGGGATGTGAAGAGACTTTCAACCAGCATAACAAAAAATGTTTCTGAAGACAATCACCTATTTAAGGTGCACCTTTAAGATTCCTTTGTATAACATTTATGCAATTTGCAGACACTTCTATCTAAAGTGATATATAATTTCAACGTAAATATTTTAAAGGAGTCATGAACTGAGAAACCAAGATTCCCTTGATCTTTTGACATATAAGAGTACACTGTACTATAAAAACATCCTGTAAGTTTCAGAACTCAAAACTTTCTCATAAGTCTAAAAACTGCCAAAATGACTGCTTGTGGGATGTGCCACTCAATGATGTAATAGTGTGGCTAAACACTGCCTCCGCCGAAGAAGATCAATGCCTGCTTTTACATCGCTACCTGTTTAGCCCCGCCCACCAGTTCACACATGTAATGTTTACGAGAGAGGCGAACGCGCAGAAACCAAACAATAAAGATGGCTCCGAACACAAGATGCTGTGCAGTGCCAAGTTGTGGAAAAACAGTCTTTGCATTGCCTTCCTTCTTGATCCCAACGTTAGTAAAGAGTGGATGAACTTTATTTTTAATGAAGTTCCAGACCGCGTCAGTGAGAACTTTGTCCTTTGTTTATGTAATTTTACCACAGATTTGTTTACAAAACAAAGCACAATTCGATACGTGATTTTCAGAAAGACTGCTGGAACTGAAAGACGATGCTGTGCTAACTATGTTGGATCCAACAGTAATGTCGCACCACACAAGTGTGAGTAACTGTTTTCATTACGTGGTCACTATTGCTTTGTCTGTTATTACAGATCGTTTGATATGTACTGTACTGAGTATTTATGCATTTTTAACCTAAATCACAGCAGTGTCCATCTATGAAGAATGTAGACTGTCAAACATACACAAGTGTTAGCCAATCATTGCAGTGGGTATTTTGCTTCCAAGTGTACTTTACAATCTGCCATGCCTATTCAAACAGAGCATTCTGATGAGAGGGGTCAAAACAGGAGAGAAAATAGCCTATTACTTCTAATTTATGATGTTTTTTATGTAAAAAATATTGATGACATTATAAGTGGACCTCAGAGAAAAGTACAAAAAAAAAAAAAAATCAGGCAGTTCATGACCCATTTAAGTTTTTCATGTATTCCTATGGGAATCATACTCTTGACCAGGCACGGCACCAGATTTTTTTCTCTACCGGTGCTAAGGTGGGGCTAGACCAATATGGGGGGGTGCTAAGAAAATAAATGATACTGATTACGTCAGAGTTACTTCATAAAGAAATTGTCGTTTTTAAAAAAAAAAAAAAGCAGCTATGGTACACACCATATTCAACAGAAGTGTAGTTTTAATTTATATTTTGCCAACGAATAGGCAAATTCATCAAAATAGATATAATCTTAATACAAGTGACCATAAGACAACAACAACATTTTTTTACAATGATAAGCACACATCATTCACTTCTTCGTCTGAAGCTTGCGTCCGCAGCATGGCAAGAAACCTAGAGGACGCAGTGTCTCGTTCCCTACTCAGGGAACCATGGTTACATAAGTAACCTGAGACGTTCCCTTTCATGGGAACTTCGAACTGCGTCCTCTAGGGGTCGCTATGGGGAACGGTATACCCACGCGACCATGCTGAGGGGAGTGCATGCCAGAACTATGGTGAGCACTAAGTACCAACTCTACCATATTGCTATGGAAGTTGCCCCTGGGACGTTAGACGGCTGCCAGTGACGCTATTCCCTACGGCCAAAGGTCTAGGCTACATACCACAAAATACTTACCTGTTAGGGCCAGACTCCTGGGCCCGGGGTAGAGCTCAAGGCTTGGAATCAGGAATAGATTCCTTTAAGGGAATACGACCAAGAGCCTAGAATCATACTAGTATTGGCCTGTCACACAGGGGCTACCGCACGTTTCTCTTTGTATGTGCTGAAGGAACTGTCTCAACAGACCCCTAGTAGCAACACCCTGTTAAAGTAGGTATCCAGAGGATACATAGGAGGAGTGGTGCCCAAGGCGGAACCGGGGTTTTAAACCACTCAGAAAGAGCACGAAGCTGTTGCGCGTAGCTCTTACCGTACAGGATTTTAGAAAAGTGGGCAAAGCATAACGTGCACACACTTGAATACCGTTCTAGGGGTTCTCGTGGCACCCTGAAAGAGCAGCCCATAGATAGAAATAGCGTATCCCCAATTCTTTCTCGATCTCAGTATGGAGATCAGGAAGGAAAGGAAGGCTCACCCGAGCTGGAGGGTTATGGCCAGAAAGATAACGTTCATCAAGACGACCTTGCGACGTCACTTCCTTAGCTTCCAACAGGCTCATCAAAGCGTTTGATCCAGTCCTGATACACTTCTTCATTTCTCAAAAAAACCCAGCCACCATTGTCATAGCTATTTCCAGCCCTATTTAGAGCCAGATCACCCCTGCTGCTTCTACCACATCTCCCGGCTCTCCCACTCACAGCACGGCCACGTCTACCGCAGCCACTCCCACTTTTTTGGGGCGCTAGATCCAAAGAGCTAGTGCTACTTCCAGCCCTATTTCTCCTACCCCTGCTGCCTCTACCTCTAGCAACAGCTCTCCTATGGACACTACGACCACGTTCACCCCTGCCACCCCCATCCCCGTTGGGCAAAGGGTCGAAATGATCACTTGTTTGTGCTACGTGAACACTCGCGCCTTGCACGGCGGCACCATTGCCCTGCAAAGATGTACCTGGAGAAGCGCGATCATTAGACAACCGATCGTAATTTCCAAAAGGCAAATATTCCCCTTCAGAGTCAGAATCGGCGAATAACATTTGCAACACATCCTCACGGTACAACTTTTTATTAGCCATTTGGCGATTTTCTCTCACAAATCTCACAATTTACTCAGACGCTCTGAACTGAACTGCTTCCGCATCAATGACACGATAGCTCACTTGCTCTGCTATTAGCTTGAACACTTTGAATAGGAACATGACGTCATTTTGGTCTAGAATCGAAGTACTACATGTCTGCCATCTAGTGGTAGGGAATACAAATGAGATATTACACCATATTAGGATCTACAGCCTATTTTATTAAGCATGACGTCTTGTCGCAATTTTGCGACTTTGGTGCTTAGATGGTTAAACGTCATGTCGGAATGAACCAACGAATTGGGATCCCTACCAAAGTACCACTATTGCTGCCCCTTCCAGTGCTCTGTGGAAGCCAACAAATCCCCCCACACCTGCTGGGGCGGAAGACAGGACCAGGCTTTGACAGAGAAGTGTACATCACTGCTGTTCTGAACAGTGAGACATTTGGAAAACACTGGGAAAGCATAACCCTGGAGGGGAATGCTATGGAGACCACATCCTGAATGTAAGAGGTATTATGTGGAAATTACACATATGGACTGGCCAATCAGGGCAGTGCATCATATGGAATGTCCCTGTGGTAGACTCAGCCTAGCTTGGGTGAAATCATTACCGAGCAGAGATGGCAGAGCAGCTCTGCCAGGGAAAGAGTGGGAGAGCCGTTTATGGTCCACTCAAGGAGCTTTCTCTGGATGAAATGACCATAGCATTCAAGGGAAAGTGCACCTTGAAACAGTACAATCCTAAAAAACCTGCAATGAGAGGTACCATACTCTGAAGAACTATAAACTTTGTCACCTGGTCAACTGATCAAAAA